TTACAAATACTTCTTTATGCTGTATTGGTTAATTCTGATTTGCCTGATAAGATTTATGCTATTGTTTAGACATTCATTTTTCATCCGGTAAGATGATGGGAACATTTCTGACAGGAAGGCTTGAACAAAGAATTAACCAAGTGATTTTCTACAACTTATCTCACAGATAGAATTTATCGTTCTCTTTCCATCGTGTTGGTTCTTTGAAATTTACTTGGAATGTAAATAAAATAGTATTTTTAGAGCCCAAAAGAGATTTTCTTTCTTTAAAATGAAACTAGTAGCAGCAGCCATTAACAATAAATAAAGTTGTAATTTTTTAAATCTTAAAACCTATTTTTAATTCAGGATTTCATGCATTGTTTTAATGCTTTTACAATTTAAAATAGTTCTGAAAAAAGACTCACATAATACCATCTGAAGAAAGGAAAATGTTCTTGTTCTTTAGGGATATAACATGTAATGAAGATAAACAGTCTCCAACAACACTGAAAAGAAACACAGGGTACTGTAATATAGATCTAACAAAAAGTATTTTTAATTTTGTTGCCTACCTAGAACTCATAATTCTTAGCCCATAATTTACTGTACTCTAACAACACTTTCCTTCAAAAAATCAAAGCAGTATCTTTTCTAAATTTGAAAAGTTTCCACAGTCTTACAGTTTTCCAGAAGATGAGCAATGGAGTCATCGTGTGAAAGGGTTTAAAAGTATAAGATTATACCTGTTAGCTATAAAATTTTGGACCCAGCATTGCTGACAAATTTGCTCTGAGGGTAAGTGTTCAGAGATAAAAGCATGATTTCAATGCTTCAAGCTTTGGGCTCAAGCTTGCTGCTCTCTCTCCATATGAATATCAAAAAATGGAGGAAAAAATTTCAAAACTGCTCAGAAATACCAGCTTGGTTTTTGCAGCCAGCTTTTGGAAAAAAAAAATAAATAAATAAACACAAGAAAAAAACCCCACCAACAAACCAAGAACAACCCTTCCATCCCTGCCCTAAACAAAAATTTTGTTACTGATATTTATTATCAGGTATTTGTATCATGTGGTCCCCTAACAGTAACTAAAAGACATGTCTTATCAAACATCCTTCTTTTGTGATCCAGCCAACATAACCAGGCAAGATTATTAGGAAATATCAGTTTGGAAGACCAGACATGTTTGCTGGAAGAGTAGGCTTTTAAAAGGACTTCATAAGGATTGCTTACTCAATTGGTGGTATGCTATAGCAAAGAAAATCCCCCTATGAGGAGGAAGAAATAGTTTTGTTTTCACTCTAGACAACCTTAGCAGGGAAATTCAATCTCTGGCCAACGGGAAGGTCAAGTGTAGGCAGCATTAATCTCTTTTTAATTTATGTAAGGGAAAAGCTTCTGTTTGTTCCAGGGTAGGATGCTCTTAAACTGTTTCTATAGTAAATTCATAGGTATTCTGAGAAAGACAAACTTGCTGTAAGTACAGCTAAGGCAAAACAAAGCCTCCTTTGCTGTAAGGTGATTGATGCTTCCTACTGATCTCATGTTTATTTGGTATATGCTAATTCTTTATATCAAAGTCACATCATTTAGACTTGGTTCAGAAGTGTTGGCAAGATGAAAAATACTAGCACAAGCTTTTTTGACAGCTTAGTAACTGCTTAAGATTATTAAACAAAACCTCCAGTTTCTCAGTCGACTACATAGGGTTATATGAAATGCAGCTACCAGACATTATTTCAGACTTCACCTCACCCACCTTGACTAACACATTCTCTTTTTCAAAGAGAAGTGGAGAGAAAGATTTTTTTAAACTTCAAATGATTCAACAGCTGTTCCACCATTTTACCACTGCCTTCTAAAGTCAGGGTTCACTTGAAGAAGGTACACCAGATTTTTCTATTTTCTAAGCATCTTGTTTCTATTACAGGATAATGGTAGCTCACCTTCTCACCTTCCAAAGGCAGAGATGCTTTTCTGTCTTTGGTCTCCCAGTGCAATGTCTCCAGCCTCCTGATGGATGATTCAAGAGCTCCTGCTTGGTTTTTCATGAGCCGATGCAACCTTGAGATCAACACTAGACTTGACAGCTGGCAGGGAGTTTTCAAAGAATTTTAACTGATCTTTTGGAAGTACCTCAAAACATCATAGACTGTCTTGGCAGACTCTTTTAAAGTCCCAGTTTTCAGATGTGAAAATGTTAGCTCTTTTTTTTTCCCTCCTTCAACAGTATTTTTGTGGAACACCTGCTGGCTCCCATTAGCAAGAAACAATCATCCCAAAACAGAAAGTGTACTAAATTTACCTTATTTTTGAGTGTCCCTTCTTGTCATTGAATTATACAGTGGAATGTTTTCCAAAGACAAAACTTCAGTGGTATAGACACAGGAATGGACTGGGTGTTGCTCGTCACTTGTGATTTTACAAAGTGTCTTAAAATTGTTTGTCATTCCTGAAAGCTGTCTCAAAAGAGCTAAGATGTTAGAAAATGACACAGAATAAATAATATTTACTATTATCCATGCTTTTTTTTTTTTTTAAATCTGTTGCATTTATCCATTTGAAACAGACATAAAGCACTTTGTAAAGTGCTTTCAGATTTTTTGCCCTACTTTACTCAATCATCTTTTTTGGTTTTTTTTAGTTCTGTAAATCAGATAAAAAGTTAAAAGGAAGTCCATGCTGAAAGAAGGCATCCAGATTCTTTTATGCCACACAAGGATTTTGCAAGACCAAGGTCAACCAAGTAAAGAGGAAGCTGGAAAAAAACTGTAACTATTTAAAAGCAAAGTTAACAACTAAACAGTCAAGTTTCAGTTCGGTTTTAAGTTGATTAATTTCAGGAGATGATCAAATTTTATAGTCTGTATTTAAGTGTCAAGCCGAGATTATATAATTATCTTTTGACTATGAAATCTTGTTAATTTCAATTTTGAAATACAAGTCACCTTAAATCTCTGAAGTTCTTATGTTTCAAAAATAAAAACCAAGGTGTTCATGTTCTTGGATATCAGAAACACAACACCTGGAAACATTTGTTTCCTTCTAGCAGTCTTCTTACATCTTTGTTTTGGCACTTGCACTCTTTCCCCACTTCCAGTCAAGAGATATAGAAGAATAAAAGCTTCTAATCACGTACAGCTCTTACTTCACTGCTTCTAGTAGTAGGCTTTTTGTTTCTCCAGCTTTGATTCCCATTTAAATGGACTTTTAGATCATAATGTGATAAATCTATCACTGATTAAATTACTTTTTATCCAGTGCTATAGTTGTAAGTAGGTGACAGTTATAGCCTGTACTTTCCTTCAAGTAATTTCAGCATAGCTTGATATTTGAGAAGGTATGTTAAGAATATTCTTTTATTTTCTTCATAGTGAAAAGATTTTATGTACTTATTGGCCTACTGCCCAAAATTTCAGTTGGAGAAGGAGACTATATATGGCACATTCAGATTTGATTTAGAGAGAGTATACATCCCGATGTTCAACTTCCATGCCAAGCAATAAAGGTAGAAAAACTACCAAGAGAGTCACAGTTTTATGTCAGGGAGTTAGTTCTGTTCCCTGAAAATAATAAAATATATTCTAATAAATAAAATAATAAAATCTATTTTGAATTCTCAGTCAATATTCTACTTAATATCACCCTGAGAAGAATTTTTTGCCAGGTTTTTTTCTTCAAACTTTTTTTTTTTTTTTTTGAGCAGCAATCATAAGCTGTAGTAGGAATTAAAATAAACCCTAGAAAAAGTTAAATCAGCACAGTATTGCTATTTGAGGACTTGCCTCATTTTTATTCAAGCTACCTGCTGAAGTAGAACTCAGAAGGCTCATTTTTAGTAACCAAACATTTCTTCACTATCTATCTGATAAATCATGATGACCAAAGCAAAGTATACATCTTGTTTTCTAATTCTGAGAGACACAGACATCTCCTTTATTGAGAAGTGATGGAATTAGTCACAAAGCACGAATTACCACTTTCAATTTCTCAATTTTTTACCTTTTCTTCACACTTGATGTTGCTCAAGACTGGACAAGACGGATCCCCGGAAATGTGGTTTGGATGAGCAGAACCTTATTGGGCTATCTCAGAATGAACTAAACCCAAATACATCAACTGCTGCATGTACTTGTACTCCTTCAGAACATGGAAAACTCCTTCAGAATAGTTTTTAAATGGAAGCCTACCTTATATTTAGTAAACATTACTTTAGTGAGGGAATTTCATGCAAAGGCATTCCTAGCAATAGGAATACTGTCAGACTTGGAGAAACAGAACACTTTTAGATGATGTGTAAGTATCAACACCTCTTTCACTGTCTGTACACTGGAAATATACACTCATCATCTGCTAGAGTGCTTAGTTCAATTTTAGTTCTTCTATTCTAATTTTTTCTTACTGTAGAAGGAGAAAATATTTGGGGGGTTCTTATGATTCTGAAACACTGAAAAGAAAAATCTACCTCCTAATCTTCACAAATGCAGGGACCAGGGCAGCCTCAAAGCCAGAGACTACATACAAAAGTTACTGTTTTCCAACATAACTGATTAGCTGCAGCTCTCAACTGCATCAGTAGGCACAAAAAAAGTTAAGGCAAACTCTTACTTGTAAAACAGAAAAGAAAAAGCAGAGCAGCACTGCTATTTAAAATTAAAAAAAAAAAAGTTTAGAATCAGAATTTAACATCAAAATTACACAAGAGACAAGAAGAAATATTAAGTATTCTAAACTTTTCTGTGTCAGGTTTCTTTCATTTTTCAAATGAAAGAAAGCCCATGCAGAAAAATTTAGAATACATAATATTTCAAATGAAGACAGCTTAATAGAATCAAATTTCATTGCTCAGAAAAGGAAAATTATTTTGTAGAGGTATTTCTGAGATTCAGATTTAAGGCTCAGTAAGAACAATATTTTTGGAAAGGCCAGACCCCATAGTCAAGAAAATTTATCACAACATATATTTATCAGAAGATATTTTATTGGCAACAAATAGAAAATTGTTACTCTCATTCCCTGATGTTTCATTTTAAAGATAAAGCTTTTCCTTCACCGCTTTTACAGACTTGTAAATTCAGCATTGTAAAAAATTAAAACAAAAAAAAAAATTGTGACAATAAATTAAGAAAATGTGAGGAGGAGGAGAAAAGCCCAGCCCATCAAGGAGAAAATGCATTAGAAGCAATAGAAGAGTTATGCAGTAGAACTGAAGTATCATATTATATTCTCCTTCCAAGAGAACTTTGGGCGCTTTGCACATGAAATAAAATAGCAGCAAAGAAAAAGGATAAATACAAGTGCATTGGTGTCCCACTGGAACTTGTTCTTATTAACCAAAACAGTAGTACTCATCAGAATCAATTTTGGGATGTTTATGCAGAGACTGTGAGTCCTCCATGGCAGAACAATCACTGAACTTGTCCATATCTGATGGGGTTGGGTGACCAGGGACATCATCCACTAAGGTGTCCAAATAACTCCCCACTGATATTCCATCCAGTCCATCACTACAGTCTTGTAAACTGTTACAGCTGCCATGGAGGGATGTCTCCTGACTTTCTAGCAAGCTGCACAGACTTCCACTCAAACTGCTGCCCCTGCTGGCAATGGCTTTCTCTTCAATCATCCACTTGATTGATTCAATACTTTCATTGATGAGGAGGAGCTGGCGCATAAGCTTCACATCAGTGGCTCGGAGATTAACCTACAAGGCAAAAGTGATAAATTACTTTTTTCATAATCAAGCCAAAGAGCAGGCTTTAATGGATTAAAAGAAAACGCACAAAAAAATCCAGATTTAATATATAGGACAAATCTATTTCAGTAACTACTAAAAAAGCCCACAAGCAAACAAATAAAAAATGCCAAAACATAGTTACACTAATAATTTCAGTGAAGGTCAGGCTAGAACCTGTTCAGCCTCCCTAAGCACTTCATTAACAGGACTGCTAGTCAGTGACAAGACTTGTGTGCACACTGGTACAATGCTATTTAGATGAGAAACATAGCTGCTATGACAACTTCTGGGGACAGCCTTTTACTAATCAGCGAAGCAAGACACAAAGCCATTTCTATTTACCATTACTCTAAGCTACTACAGACATCTAGGCATTCACCCAAAGTTATCCTCACACCAGCTACTTGGGCAACCTAAAATTCTCAGATGTGCATAATTTGGAAAAAAACTTGTGGATATTTAACTTTTACTCACACTACTCCTTGAGTGGACATGAAAATCTTCTGTATAAATGTCTGAGAGTTTAAATATTTAACTTATTGACACTGTAACTTTCAGTTTTTTAAACCCATATTAGATGAAGTTCAAAGTTAACCATATTACAGATATGGAGCAAGCATTTGCCACAGCTAACTAAATAAAAAGTGGACATTACGAACAAACTCCTACTTTCTCACTTAGTTGTGGTGGTTGATGCAAACACACAGAAGCATTATTAATTATTATTAATGCACAGTGGCATATTACAGTGTTACATTTCACAGATATATCTGAGTTAACCATCCTCATGTTTTCCTTAATGAGCAAACTATATAAGCCACTTTTTACGTCACTTCAGCTGACAAATAAAGGTGAGACCTAAGGTTTATATTCATTGCTTCCTTCTCTCCGTCTGAAACATCATAGGATAGGTACTGGAAAAAAAAAATCTGTGACCCTGTCTTATGTACCATACTGAAAATTTGAAAGACTTCACTCAACTGAAAAATAAAAAAAACCAAGTAAGATCTATTACAGACAATAGATATTTTATACAATTATCCAAGTCCACAACTGTTGTACAAAAACCCAGCACCTGTATTGTTCATACACAATGGACTGTAACAGAACCAGTATTCTTGGGAAGCAAAGACTGTATCTTGTTTTGCTAAGAGTATAATCTGGACATGATCCTTTCCATACTCAGATGCCATCTTCTCAGTACCCCAAATTTCACTGACCTGCAACAGTTGCTCAAAAATTAATTTAATGTATTTTTATTCTTTTAGATACTGCAGAAGATTGTAGTGGATCCAGCTGGGACTCTTCCTAGCAGCCAGTATGGTTTTGTTCTCTATATCTGTGACTAAACCAGGTTGGTAGAATTCCAGTGCTTCAGCTCTTGCTGAGTAGTGAGTGCAATCACGGCCTTTTCTGTTTTTAACTCCACACCCTCAGCAAATAGATTAGGACTGAGAAAGTTGTTTGGAGTGGACAGAGATGGGAAAGTTGATCAGAATTCATCAAATGGATATTTCTTGCCATACAATGTTGTGCCCAGCAATAAAACCTGTGCATTTGATCTTTCCTGTACAGCTGCTGCTTGGAGGCTGACTTGGTCTACTGGTGGGAAATGGTATGTTACTAACTTTGCATCACTTGTTCATTTAATCTATTTCCTTAATTTTTTAAACTGTGTTTATTACAATCTAAGTTTTTCTCACTTTTGTTATTCTAATTTTCTCCCCCGATCCCACTGGAAGGGCAGTTGGTGGGTGCTTAGTTACTGGTCAGGGACAACCTAACGCAAAGACGTTACTTTGCCAGTAACAGACTGCCTTGTGTAATTGCCACATGTATTCCCAGCTTCCTTTCCCAGTCCCCAGAATGACTTCTGAATTATTCTCAATCCAGTATCACAAGATATAACACAGCTAATCTGGTATTGTGCAAAACAGCTCTACCTACCACTCAAAGTTTTAACAATACTGCCCATCTATCATTGTTTCAGAAGTGAGGTTATGAAAACAGATTGACCATTTTGTAGTTCTCCTGCTCAAGCCAATTCCTCTACTCTAACCAATAAATCACTATAAACCATTTGCTCGAAAACTATGCTGTCATGAAAGCAGTAAATTACCCAACTTCTCAAATGCAACTACAGACCTCAGTAACTTGAGTATAAACATGCTCGGAGACAAGTTTCCCAAAAGGCTGATTAAGGAAATGTTTAACAGAACAAGCACCTACATGACTCAAATGAAACAGCCCATTTTAGATAAAGCAGACATCTCATATATTTCAGATTCAGTTTAGGAAATAATTTTTTTCTCTAAATACAGCAACAGCTTCAGCATTTTTGTGGAACAGCCTTACTGGAAGCAATTCTTTGCATTCCTGAGTACTAGAGTAGTCCTCCTCTGAGCTACCATGTCATTCCAAGGCTCCCATATCAAGACTGTGCTTTTCCTAAAGCAAATATGAAGAAGTAGTTTAACAAGTGTCATCCTTCTTTAATATGGTTTACTTCATCATCTGTTTGGTAACACAAAAATGTCAAAATGACATTTTTTTTCCCCTTATGTGCTTTAGCACAGACATCAAGACAATCACATTAGCTTTTACTCACTTACGTAGCTGCAACCCATTTATCTTGGAAGTTTTTGGAGTATACAAGCTGGAGTGTTTTTGGAGTAAACAAGTCAGTCCAAGATGATTCCACTAGCAGGACTAAACACAATAAAATCTCACCAACCTTGACAGCTCCATTTGTTATGCACAGTAACAGGTGCATTTCAGGAATAATCTAAACAGTGTATCATAGCTAATAAAGGCTTTCCAGAACAATTTTTATAGGTGTTCTTCTAGTTAAAGCTAGAGCACAGGACTACCATAGGGAAGGTGTGTGTTATTATGGATCAGTCCTCAGCAAAAAACTCATGGTGTATAAAGAAAACCACAAGAAAGTGAAAACTAATTTCCTGTTACAGGTTAACTTTTATATATTTTTGCTTAGTTTTGCTCTGTGTATTTGCAATAGCGCTGATCACAGGAAGGATACTAAATGCTTAACATTAAGAGTTAGTCACAGCAAGAGAAAATAATGAAATTAAAGTGACAGGATCTTTTCAAGTAACACATTCTGGTAGCATAAATGCACAGATTAGTGTTCAGACAACGAGAACTTTAATCTGTACGGAACAGCTGGATTAAACACCTGTCTGTGCCTCCCTCTCATTAACTGCTGTTCTAGCAAAATATTTCTTCCTTTCTTTTGGTCTTCTGTAATAATACATACAACACTGTCATAATTTATTCAAGAGTATTGATACACACACACACACACACACATATATATATATATATATGTAAAAATATAATGGCTTTTTTGTATGTATATATGCAGAGAGATACACAAATATTCATGTTATTTTTATATCCAATGTATTGTTTTTGATAAAGAACTTGACTAGGTCATTGCTTTTAGAAAAAAACTCTTAATGACCAGGACTGCAAACAAAGACAATTACCACTTCCTGGCAGTCACCCAAAGTAGTGCATTAGCCGTCCCTAGCCTGATCACTTAGTGCGTGGATCAAACTCACAAATGTAGTCACAGTTTCAGCAAAACAGCCTTGCGTTTTGCTGCTGCATGTTCTGCAGACATAGCTTCCAGTCAGTTCCAAACAGAGTGGGTCACCTTCCCCTCCAGAAATGGCAAAGCTAAAATGTCTGTTAAATGTCTGCACTTCTAATCTGCACAAGCTATTTGAAACACTAATTTCTTCCTTTTAAATTCCTGGATTCACATAGTGCTTCTTTTAACTACAGGAACTCTGCAGGAATATTAATGGCAACCATAAAACATAGTTTGAGGAAAAGTTATCCATAAGTTTGTTTAAATTATTTCAGTTCCATTTTTTTTTCCTCAACACTTTTATATTTTGTGCTATAAAGAGTCTACTAGCAAAAGGAAAAGAAGTGAGTGAACCTAAATAATAAGGTATTCTTTTCAGGACATTTCTTTTAGCCAGACCACAGTGAAGTAAGTCCTCACAACAGACAACATCTTATACTTACAACTTAATGGATTCAGGGAGCTATTTAAGTCACTCAGATCAGAAGCTCTGCCCTGCACAGAATCTCAAGACGAATCTAGGGTTGGCTGCTCTGAAATCTGTGCTCTAAAACATCTTGAGTTTGGACACAAATTCCATACTGCGTGGAAGAGGATGGAAGCAATAACAAAGTACAGTACTCCTGGGAAAGCCCCTCAGAGGTTCAGGCTTGGGAAGACTTGCAGAAGATAACAAACATGTGGAGAGGTTAGATGAAACTAACTGCAGCCAATTCCATCTGTTGCTAAACACTACCATACCCCCATCTCTATCACACTTTTTACAAAAAGAATTTCAAACCAGTAGAACTTTTCCATACTAAACAGGTATACGTGACCACTATGGTTCAGGAGTATTAATGCTACTATTGTTTCCATTTCCTAGGAAGTGTCAGAGATAGCCTCCTGCTTTTCTATTCAATGTCTTCCATTTCCCATATAATTTAGGATGAAGAGCTTGCTAGCTATGCCTACCCCCCCCTTTCATTTTTAACAGGGAGATTACCTCATCTTTTCATAAAATAGTAAATTCCATCAATTAATTTGAGATGCAATTAAAAAAAAATCTATCAATTTCCAAATAACAATTTGTTTTGCATTCTGAGGTGTCTCATTTTCAAAAAAGTCAACCTTATTCCACTTTCTACTGGTGCTACTTTTACTATTACAAACAGTGCATAACAACTTTTAAAGTAACTAAGGAAATTAATTTACAAGGCAAAGATGAGGGTGAGGAAAATAAAACAGTGACTGGCAATTACTCAAGTCATATCAAGATACAAATATAGTAAGAAGATATATAAGGATAAAAAAAATGGTCAATAAAACCTCAGCAACTAATTCTGTGAGACCATAACAAGCTAAAATACCA